AGCAATGAGCCAAATTGTACAGATGGTGATGCAACAATATTTCATGATCAAGATGGTGGTACGTCTCAGAAGAAGTCTTATCTGCCGCCAGTCGTGGGCATGGAATTTGAATCCTATGAAGATGCTTATAATTATTACAATTGTTATGCCAAGGAGCTTGGTTTTGCTATCAGGGTGAAATCTTCATGGACAAAACGGAACAGCAAAGAGAAGCGTGGTGCAGTGCTTTGCTGCAATTGTGAGGGTTTCAAGACAATGAAAGAAGCAAGTACTCGAAGAAAGGAAACGAGAAGAGGATGTTTAGCAATGATACGTTTGAGGCTGGTGGATTCCAACAGATGGAGGGTGGATGAAGTTAAACTTGAACATAACCACCCGTTTGATCCTGAAAGGGCACAGAACTGCAAATCACACAAGAAGATGGATTCTGTAGCAAAAAGGAAGTTAGAGCCTGCAGTTGATGTGGAAGTGCGAACAATCAAATTGTACCGATCTCCCACTGTTGATACATTGAACTATGGAAGCTCAAATGAAAGAGACGTTGGCAACTGTATTGATGCCTCCAAGCGCTTGAAAGTTAACAATGGTGATTTCCAACTCATATGCAATTTTTTTTCTCGGATGCAGCTCACAAACCCCAACTTCTTCTATATCATGGATCTAAATGATGAAGGGAATGTCAGGAATGTTTTCTGGATTGATTCTAGGTCCAGGACTTCATATTCATATTTTGGTGACGTGGTACTGGTTGACACGACATGCTTGTCCAAAAGTTATGAGATCCCACTGGTAGTATTCTTTGGAGTAAACCACCATGGAGAAGCTCTTTTACTGGGTTGTGGTTTGCTTGTAGATGAAAGTTTTGAGACATACATTTGGGTGCTAAGAGCATGGCTAACATGTATGTCAGGGCGTCCTCCACAGACCATCATCACAGACCGCTGCAAGGCCTTGCAAAATGCAGTATCTGAGGTTTTCCCTAGGGCTCATCATTGTCTTTGCTTGTCACTTGTCATGCAAAGTATTGCTGAGACATTAGTAGAGTTGGAGCAACCAGAACTGTTCTACACTGTACTTAACAGGGTTGTATATAACTCACTAAAAGTTGATGAATTTGAAATTGCCTGGGAGGAAATGGTTCAACATTTTGGCATTAGCAGCCATGAATGGCTTCAAAAATTGTATGAAGATCGTGAAAGATGGGCTCCTGTTTACCTGAAAGATACATTCTTTGCTGGAATGTCTGTCTCTCAGCCAGGTGTGTCCGCGAGCCATTTCTTTGAAGGTTTTGTACATAAAGAGACCAATTTGAAAGAATTCTTTGATATTTATGAATTGATACTGCAAAGGAAGCATCAGAAAGAAGCCCTCGATGATCTTGAGTCAAAAGAGTTCAACCCTGTGTTGCGAACTAGATGCAATTATGAGTTACGGCTGTCTGAAATGTACACAAAAGAAATATTCTTGAGCTTCCAAGTTGAGGTGGCATTGATGTCTACTTGTTTTAGCGTGTCACAAATCCACACCAATGCACCAGTGATCACATACATGATCAAAGAACAAGACACTGCTGGAGATACAAGGGATGAAAGAAACTATGAAGTTATGTACGATAGGGTAGGACAAGATGTACGCTGCATGTGCAGTTGTTTCAACTTCAAAGGTTACCTATGCCGCCATGCATTATGTGTGCTTGACCATAATGGCGTAGAGGAAATGCCAAATCAGTACATTCTTTCACGGTGGAGAAAGGATTTCAAACGCCTGTATTCACCAGACCTCGGCTCCAATAACATCGACATTTCTAACCCTGTGCAGTGGTTTGACCACTTGTATAGGCGTGCTCTTCAAGTTGTTGAGGAGGGTATGGCTTCTCAAGATCATTATATGGTTGCTTGGCAGGCATTCCAGGAGTCTCTGAATAAGGTTCGACTTGTTGCAGATAGACATGGATAAGCATAGTCAAAGATGTAACATCTTTAATCTTTTTTAAAAGATTATTCTTTTTTTTTTTTTTTTTTTTTTTTTGGGGGGGGGGGGGGGGGGGGGGGGGGGGTTAGCTTGTATTTGTATACAATCATCACTCAGTTCTACATACTTTTGTACAGTGCAGTATTGAAAATTGTAATTTAGTCTCTAAGTTATAGCCAATAGCAATTTTAGTTTAAAATTGTTTTGTGATCATGTGATTCCTGAATTGCTAAGAGCCACCCAATGGTTATAATTTCTTTTTAATTTTTTGTGGGTCTTAACATTTCACATCAATCTTCACTATTTAAAAAAAAATAAATAAATAAAATAAAAATAAAAAAACTAGTAATTTAACTATTTAAGAGTATCACCATTGATCATTTGGGTTTGAGTTTTTCTCTAACGGAAAAACTCAAATTGAGTGATATGAGTTTTTTGACAAAATTAAAAATCAAGTGCTTTTGCTGGTAAATATTTTTTTTTTTTAACAGAGAAATAAATAGCGAGTGAGAAACACAACTCTTAGCGAGTGCATTTCATCCGCGGCCACTCAGGAACTTGATTTTAAAAAAAAAAAAACAATAAATATTATTTTATTTTATGCAAAATTAAATATTTTAAAATTTTAATTATTTTCATGTTGAATATGCAAAACTTTTTATTTTATTTTATTTTTAATTTAGAAATTCGTCATCAAAATATAGCCTATCTATATAGCATCAATTTCTCGTGATTTTGATTTCATCATTGATAGTAGTGATGAATCAATTAGAGAAGAATGGTCACAAACATGACCAAGTTAACTCACAAGTTCCTTGAAATGTGACAAAGTTTTTCTCTGTCAAGACATTAAAGAATGTGTGTGAGTATTTCCATAACGATTGTGAGTTAGGCCACACTCGCTTAGTCAAAGATTACTTCGCCGATGACTCGATTTTCCAAGATGTGTTTAGCCAACTATTTCAAATGAGAAAACAATTATTTATGTGCATAGTCGATGCATTGCAAAGTCAATTTGAATATTTTCAACTCAAGGTAGATGTTGCTAGGAAAAAAGGTGTATCTCCCCTAAAAAATAAACTGCAACTATTCGTCAATTAGCTATGGAGCACCGGATGACACAATGGATGATTACCTACGCATGACTAAAAAAACTACCGTAGAATGCTTATTCAACTTCTGTCAATGTATCATTGATGTTTTGGAGGTCAATACTTGTGAAGGCCAAATACCGAAGACATCATATAGGTTATTTGACACAACTTCCCTAGAATGTTGGGGAGCCTTGATTGCATGCACTAGTAATAGCGAAGTTTCTTAGTAGCTTGGAAAGGGCAATTTACACAGGTTGATCATGAAGTTTCAACCGTTATACTATAAACGGTTGAATTTGCAGACTTATGGTATGACATGCATTATTCGGCATCACATGAGCTACGAATGAATTAATGTGTTGAATCAATCATCTTTATTCGATGATGTCTTGCAAGGATATATATGTACTAAAGGTTAGTTTTATTGTGAATGATACAAAATATAAAATAAAAATAAATAAAAATAAATAAATAAAAAAAAGGGTACTGCCTTACATACGGTATCTACCTCGCGTGGTCGATGTTTGTGAAGAGCTTTCCATATCTAATAGACCACAAAGGAAAACTATTTAAAGAAAGACGAGGCGAAAAGAAAGGATATGAAGCGTACATTTGGGGTGTTGCAAGCTCATTGGATTGATTAGTGGTCTTGCACGATTTTGGTACAAAGAACACTTGACATAAATAATGTATGTATACTTGCATTATTTTACACAATATGATTCTTGAGGATGAAGACGATGGCGTAACTAATTGGGTAGACGAAGATAGATAATTCTATTATAAAAGGTTTTAAAGTATATATGTCTTCTATGGTCCTATCAAATGGAGTAAGATGTGATAGAGAATGACTAGTTTACTCAAAAGAGCTTGATAAAGTTTTTTTTGTTTTTGTTGCAAAATCTTTGAAAAGTGTATTGGTAGAGGTCAATTAACAAATGAGGGTTTCAGTGATTGGTCTCATATTGGTGAAAGACTCCGAGAACATGAGACATGTATGGAGCATATTAAAAATATGACGACTTGGTATAATTTGCGTCAAAGGTTTAAAAAAAATCAAACCATTGACAAAGTCACTCAAGAATTAATTGAGAAGGAGAAAGATCATTGAAAAAAAGTTTTGTTAAGGACTCTTTCTTTTGTCAAGTTTCTTGACACACGTAATTTAGTCTTTCGTGGTACTAATGAGAAATTGTATCAAGATGACAATGAAAACATGCTAATGAACCATGTAGGCAAATTAGATAGGTTACTTGTTAGAAACTTGCTTAAAATGTTAGATGAAAAATAATTGAGAGTATAATAACCTAAATGAACCACATTTTAATTCATGGTGCTAAATTATGTTGTGGAACCGTGCCCACCTTGTACAAGGGGGCACAGTTTATTATTTTTTTAAAAATTTTTTTTTCACTTGTTGTTAACGATGTTTCTCTCTTCGAAATCGCACAGTTTAAAAATTATGAATCTATAGTATTAAGTTTGTGCACATGTGATAGAGCTATATGTTCATAATTTTCGATGTTCATATTCCCAATTGTTGAACTATGTATTCATAAATCACAGAACTATATGTTCATAATTTGATAACTATACAATTTAGAAATTATGAATCTACAGTACATATATTATGAATCTGCAATAAAAATTATGAATTTACTATATAAAAATTATGAATCAAATTGTATTTAAATTATGAATTTACGGTTTAGAAATTATGAATCTACAGTATAGATGTTATGAATCTACAATATTGAAATTATGAATTTACATTTTGGAGGATAATGATATCACTAATGACACCGTTATTTAACCACATAAAAACGGCGTCGTTTGGAACCTTGCAAGGTGGGCACGATTCCACAGCATAACGTTCCCTAAATGAAAGTACATTCGCCTGTTTGACAATTCTGCCCTTAGTTTTAATGAGTATGCGCTGCGAGTGCTCGGTGCAGGAAACACGACTCACAAAGAAGAGAATCACAGCACACTCGCTTCCGGTGGCTGCTCCGCCTTCAGCTACACTTCCATTACCGGTAACTGTCTCTTCTTGTCCCTCCTCCTCATTCCACAGCCCAAAGGTATCGTTCTGGTCTATTTTTATTTATTTATTTTGTGTATTCACATTTCACATTTGTGCTAAGTGTTTTTTTTTTTTTTCTGGGCAGTAATTTGAGATTGCAATTTTCAGTTGATGAATATACTCGTAACTATTCTTTTTTTCTGTTTGGAAAACAATCGTCAAAGGAATTCAGTAAAGTTTGTGCCTTTTTTCGTTATCTCATGTAAATAGAATTTGACCAAATTGTTAGCAATTGAAGTAGGTAAATAAATTGAACATCAAAAGCCTTTTGGGCGAGGGGGTTAGCTTGGCAGGTGATTACTCGTACAGAAATGGTAGTTTGTGAAATCCACTCACCATGGCCAAGTGATGAACCACTATTAGTACTTTATTTAGGCAGCAATGCCTCTAGAAATTGGCATACCCTAGTTATCCTTGATTTGCAAAGGCAGTATTTATATTGAAACTAGGTGATTATGGTTACCCTTATATCCAAATAGTTTACATCCTCCTTTGATTTGAAAGTTATCCCATTTGTAGTAGTGAAGAGTTTTTCGCACTTTTGGTCCCACGACTATAGTGGCACTATCAGGATTGATTCACGCTTTCAAACCTTGCAATCTCGGTCCAAGGCTATTGTTTTTTTTTTTGCAAAAACGTTCCTTCCGACCCATTTTCCGGCCCGCTTTTGCCGGAAATGGTTCTTACTCCGGTGAGAAATTGACGGAAAATGGACCGGAAGGACAATTTTTGCAAAAAAAAAAAAAAAAAAAAAAAAAACAATAGTCGTGGACTGAGATTGCAAGGTTTGAAAGTCGTAGATCAATCATGATAGTGCCACTATAGTCGTGGGACCAAAAGTGTGAAAAACTCTAGTAGTGAATCATAAATTTATTGATTCAAGAATTGTAAGTTATGTTGGTGTGAAGGTTACAAAGTGAGATGGTGAACATTTTTGCTTCTTGTTGATAAACTATGCATTGCAATTCTTACAATTGATAGTTGTAACAAAGGGGTGATTGTTGCTTCCAAAATTTCAGATGGATGAAGTTTCACTGAATACCGAACCTGTACTCGATGACGAGACAGAGGAATTTGAGATTGATGGAGATTGTGCGATGACTGAATTTGTCGGCCAGTCTGGTGTTATTGAAGGTGAAAATCCCCTGCCTCCTGCTGTTGGAATGGAGTTTGAAACATATGACGATGTTTACTACTTTTACAATTGTTATGCTAAAGATCAAGGATTTGGAGTTAGGGTGAGTAATACATGGTACAGAAAGAGCAAAGAGAGGTATAGAGGAAAGCTAAGTTGTAGTAGTGCTGGTTTCAAGAAAAAAACTGAAGCAAACAAGCCCAGACCAGAAACAAGAACTGGTTGTCCTGCAATGATAAAGTTCCGATTGATGGAGAGCAAAAGGTGGAGACTTATTGAAGTTGAACTTGAGCACAACCACTTAATACATGCACGGGGTGGGAAGTTCTATAAATCTCACCGGAACACGACACTTGGAAGTAAGAGACCGTTACAGGTGGATGGTGCTGAAGTTCAAAAAATTATGTTGTTTAGAACAGTAATTGTTGATACTAGTGAAAATGGAATCACAAGTGTTGATGAAAATGAATTTAGGAACACTGAAGATCAGCCCGGTAATCAATTAAGTCTTAAACCAGGGGATGCTCAAGCAATTCATGATCTCTTTGCTCATCTTCAGCTAATAAATCCAAATTTCTTTTACGTAATGGATCTTAACGAAAGGGGACGTTTGAGAAATGTCTTTTGGGCAGAAGCAAGGTGTAAGGCTGCATATAGTTATTTTGGAGATATAGTGTCAATTGACAGTACTAGTTTGTCAGACAAATACGAGGTACCACTGGTTGTATTTGCAGGAGTGAACCACCATGGACAATCTGTGCCACTAGGTTGTGGTTTGGTCGCTGGTGAGACCATAGAGTCATTTGTATGGCTGTTGAGGGCATGGCTGACATACATGGTAGGACGCCCTCCGCAAACTGTTCTTATTGGCCAGTCTAAAGCTATGCAGACTGCAGTTCTTGATGTTTTCCCGAGAGCTGCTTATTGTACTCCTTTATCTGACATCATGAAGAAATTTTCTGATGAACTGGGAGGGTTGCACGAGTACGAAGCAATTAAGGCATCGTTTACGAAAGCAATTAGCAATGCATCGAGAGTAGGCGAGTTTGTAGCAGCTTGGGAGGACATGATGGGAAGCCATGGAATTCAGGGTCAGAAATGGCTTCAAACATTGTATGTAGATCGTAAACAATGGGTGCCAGCTTTTTTGAAAGATGTATTCTTGGCAGGGGTATTCGAAGACAAACTGAGCCCCTTTGAAGGGTATTTATCTAAACATACTCCTTTGAAAGAGTTTGTTACCAATTATGTCCAAGCACTGCAGGAAATATATCAAAGAGAATCGTTGGCTGATATGGAATCCAGAGATCCTAATTGTATGTTGAAGTCGAGATTTCACTTTGAAGCTCAGCTCTCAAAACTGTACACTCGCGCCATATTCAAGAAGTTCCAATGTGAAATAGAGGGAATGTTTTCGTGTTCAAGCACAAAACAAGTGCGCATTGATGGAGCAGTAATAACACACGTAATCAAGGAACATAGAGCAGAGGATGACGTTCGAGAAGCAAGAGATTACGAGGTTGTGTTGAACATGTCAGACACAGAGGTTGTTTGCGATTGTGGGTTGTTCAACTCCAAGGGTTTCTTGTGCAGGCACGCGTTGAGTGTTCTAAGCCAGAACGGCGTAGAAGAGATTCCACCTCAGTACATTCTTCCGCGATGGAGGAAGGATATTCATCGTAGCTATGTTCTTGACAACGGTTGCCATGGCATCGATGTGAACAATCCAGTGCACAGGTACGATAGTTTATACAAATGCGCGATGAAGGTTGTGGAAGAAGGGCAGAAATCTCATCATCATTACAAATTTACAATGGATGCATTGGCTGAGATTCTGAACAAGGTGTGTCTTGAAGGGGATCTTCCAGGTTGAGTGGGGGAAGGTGTGTGTGTGTGTGTGTGTGGGGGGGGGGGTGGGGGGGGGGGGCGTGTGGGGTGTTAATGTATCTAAATGTAGGTGTTACATATGTAAAGTGTTGCATGTAAAGAACTTTGCAACTATTTGTGAGTCAATTTATCTACATATTATGACTACAATAAACTTCACAGCTGAAAATTAAATCACAAGATTAATGTAACACAATGATGGAGTTCCAAAACAGCAAATTATTTCATTGCTCAAAACAACCTTTTGCCTTGATCAAAATTTTAAATTTAATGCAATCTAAAGAAAATATAATGGAAAAAAAAAAAGAATATAATTGACCTATATAACCTTGTGTTTCAAAATTGTCAAAAACAAATTACAATTGAAAGAATACTAATACTCTATTTTAACAATTTCTGTTGGGGTTCCTACTGGCTGTGGTTCCAAAGTCTCATACTGCATCCAATCCTTTGCACATATAAGGGCCTCCAGTGTTGTTGGCCTCAATGAACTTTGGAAACTATCCACATTCCTTTTTACAGTATCAAAGAGGGAATCTGGAGGAACAGTAGAGACTGGAATAGACAAAATATCAGATGCCATTTTCGAGAGGATTGGGTACTTAAACCTATTCATTTCCCACCAACCTAAAACATCAAAATCTTTGGAATCTTTGGCGCAAGGCATAAGCAATTCGTCAAGATACTGATCTAGTTCTGATTTCATTTGATGCTGGTTGCTTGAAAAATCATTGACATATACATCAAAATCTGAGAAGCAATCTCCATTAAGAAAATTATCTTCTTGAGATGCCTCTGACTTTATATCGGGTTCAATTCCATCTTCCAGAAAAATAGGCGGAGGAAGTGATTGCACAAAATAGTCAAGAAATAGCTCATGCAATCCATCATCAACAATCCTGATCCAAGTCTCCGCTTCTCTGTCATAAATCTTTGAAAAGCTATGCTCCACAAGCTTCATCTTGAACCTAGGATCCATAACGGCTGCAACAGCTAATACAAGACTGCAATCTTTCCAATATTCATCAAATGTCTCCTGCAACGGTCTCGTGAAACTGCTAACAAAATGGTCATGGCTAGACGCTGCATGCTTCAGCTTAAGCTGAATTGTACACACTTTATTATAAAACACATTGGCCGTTGGGTAGGTTGGGCCAGCTAAAACGTTGGCAGCATTAAAGAAAAGATTCAGAAAACTACACAGAATTTCAACCTGTTTCCATTCATCCATTGATAGAGTTACTGTATAATCCGGATCACAAGTATCTAAGCAAGAAAATACTTCCTTTAACTCAGATGCAGCTGTCAGCATCTGATAGGTAGTATCCCATTTTGTATAGTCATCAATTGTTAGTTCCTTCACACTCGGCACTTGAAGCTGCTGTTTCAGTTCAAGAAACTTTTTCTCATGGGCATCTTCTGTTTTCACATACTTAACACTTTGACGAACTTTCTCAACAATGTGTGTCATGGACTCTAATGCATCTTTTGCAAGCTGGCTCAAAACTCGGGCATAACAATTTCCAATTACAAGCTGCCCATTGAGGATAAGATTTTTTATTGACAATAAACTCCTTAGATTGTCTTTAACAGCTTCTTTTGCAAATGACTGATCAAGAGTCACAGTGAATAGCTTGTTCTCCAAACACCAATCAACTAGACAGGTAGCCACAGCATGACCAAAAGCAAAATCTGATTCAGGGAAAGGTACCTTGATAACATTAAGAAGACGCCGATGAAATTTCCACTGGAAGTCAATAAAATATCCAGTTAGCACTACATAGCTTATGCTTTGAGCTGAAGTTCTTATATCCAATGTAAGACTAATCCGCCCTGGAATTCCATTAAGGAGGTTCAAAATGCTCTGTTTACCTCTGGAATAAATACTCATAACAATCTCTTCAATGGCAGCAACACTTGAATTAAATTGCGGCTGAAGAGTCTGTGCAAAGTTAATAAATCCAGTGTCTTCTACAATGTGAAGTGGGTAGTCATGCTCGATTACCATTTTGGCAATCATATAATTGCAGGTGTTCTGATCAAAAGGAGTACTTGTTGATGTGGAAGTTGCTCTGGAGTATTTTCTTCGTCTATCAGCACCATTAGCAGTAGCCTGAGTTTGGGAAGCAGGATTGTAGGGAGCTAATTGATTTGTATCCTGGTTGAGCCGACTCACAGGACATATACCCAAGTCAATGTGCCGTTTAAGGTGGCTAGTGCCTGCTAATTTTGTGCCACTAACATAAGCAAATGATTTTCTGCAGTGGTTACAATAGGCCTTCGTAGAGTCACCATTAATAGGTCCAAGGGTAAAGTGTTCCCAGACAATGGATTTCTTTCTCCTGCGTTTATTAGGTTGTCTCTCTGAATTGGCCAATTCATTATTATCTGTAGGGGTATCCATTTAGAAAGCCCTTCAAGTAGAAAAGAGAATATAAGCAAATAAACTACAACTTTAGAAACTAAAGCTTAAATGCATGTGATCAACTGTGAGACCAGTTCAAGAAACTCCAACACACTTCATCATGTTCAGCAACCAACTCATATATAAAAAGCAAAAAATAAATAAATAAAAAGTTGCTTCTCCATCCCCTCCACGAAAAAAGTTCCTTTTATTAATCCATTAACTGTCTCTTCCCCTCCAACCGAACCCAAAATACATCAAATTTAAATAAAATATCCAATTCTTCAATGATAAAATTTCATCAAACTCAAAACTATGCCACATAAATCCCTATATTTCCCTCACATTAAACCTTCCAAATTCCCATTCCTAAACCTCTGGAAGCCCATACAAATTTCAGAATTAACAGGTAAAAGCAATAGCAGCAAATCAACGGAATAACGGTTAAACATATAACGAAATCGGAAACAAATACAGATATAAAATAGATAAATAAAAAATACGTAAAAAAAAAAAAAATCACACGAAAAAAAAAAAAAACGTACTTGTGAAGAACTGAGGTCGAAACAAATGGCGTAATGAAGAATCAGAACAACAAGTGCCCACTAGGGTTTAGGGTTTATCGATCAAAGTTTAGAAGTATTTTTGAAATTGTGGAGGGAGAGGGGAGAAGATGATGGGCTTAAGAGTTTCAGAAGTCGAAGGATAAAAGCTCAGAACCCTAATGGACCAAACAATAAAAAAAGCTAGGGCTGATGATGCCTTTATATATTTTGGCCCTTAAACCATCCCGCCGCCATTACGTTTGAGCCCGCGTGTTTCGACTAATCCTAGCCGTTGAGTATTCGAGATCGGTGGTAGAGTCTAAGGGACCCCTTTTTTTTTCTTTTTCTTTTTTTGAATTTTCGTTTCTTAATCCTTGTGACATTCCTATTTCCTAACCCCTTTCTTAAAAAAGAAACAAATATATATATTCCTAATCCTAAAGACATTCCTACTGTGATTATTTATTATGGAACCTAAATACACCTTCAGTTTTTTTAGAGTTGTTTTGCTTGAGTAAAAAAATTTTATTGATTCTTTTTAATTACCAATGAAAAATTATAATGTGGGAAAACCTAAACAACCAAGTACTCAAGCTATACTGCTAAAATCAAGTTTTCGAGTTTAAAGGGGAAAAAAGTAATGGCATTTGGGAGTCACGCACAATACCCAGTTTTTACATGCTTGTTTGGCGCTCGAAGTTGTTGCCAGCCTAACGACAACTTATTTTCTCTGATTTTCTTGTTGCCAAGACACTAATCGACCGATTAATTATTATTTCCTTTAAAAAAAAATAAGTTATTTCACTCAAAACGATACCGTTTTGAGTGAAATAACTCTAAATTGTTCAAATTCTAGATGTTTTTTATGTTAATATTTAATATTTTAGTATTAACTATACCGTTTTGAGTGAAATAACTCTAAATCATATTTTTCTTATTTACTTATTTTTTAAAGTTTTTTTTTTAATTTGATTTTTGTATTTAATAGTACTTATAATAAAAATTTTAAACATATAAATTTAATATACTAATGCTAAACTTAATATTATAAAAAATTAAATTATAAATAACTTTAATCAAGTTTCATTAACCGAACTATACACATAAAATATGATAGATGGAGTAACAATTATAATAACAATTAAAAATCGTAAATACTAATAATTAATTAAATAAAAATAGTTTATGTAAAATGGGTGGGGTCACCCCAAAAAAACAATAACAATAACCTTTAAGAAGATGGATTTTTAAAGATGAATAATATTTTTTTTAAAGCAACCAAAACGGCTATATTAATGACTCAAATTGTTCAAAAATGATAGGGGTACATCAAGCCATTCAGAATGGGACGACCACGCCCGATCCGCTTTAGCAGAAATGAATGATATAGTAGAGTTTAATGTGAAATATTATTAAGTGCAAACAACTTAGAAAAGTCCCCAACTGAGAAGTTCTTATAAAATTTAATAAATATAATTTTGTTGTTCTCCTCTTTTAAGTTGAAGACATGTCGTAAACAATTTATCTTCATCTATATTTATTTAAAATAAAATATTGGCCAAAATTATTTTTCCATCTAGTGTGAAATGAAAATGTAAATGATAGGTTTGCAAAAAAAAAAAAAAATAAATAAATAATTGCAATTAAATGTAAGGGCATGTTTGTTGGGAGGACAATATAATTGATAAGAGTACATTCTCCCCCGTCTTCAATGTATGAACGGTGAAAAATTCTTAAATTTTAATTTTTTTTTAAAATATTAATTACTTTTTACAATGTAGTATATGTTTTATATATACTTTTCAATATTTTTTCGCCCAAAAAATTAATGCTCCCATCACTGAGATTCGATCCTATTACCGCCCATTTGAAATGCAATGCATACATCCGAGCCATTTAAATTAGTTTGGATAATGTGTTTTTTCAAATGTTAGATAGATGGCTATCATTTAATGTTATATTCATTTTTTTTAGTGATGAATTGGAGTTTTGACGTTTTGTATTGCATATTAGGAGTAGTTTTTGTTGTAAGATGCATTCCGAG